CGAAAACGCCGATTTCTGTCGATGCGTTCAAGGAACTGACGTTCGACGATGCAGAGTTGCAGGGACGAACAGAGGAAGAGTATCGCCAGAGAGTGGGATCTCTTCAGTTCGCCGCCTGCACGACACGTCCGGACATCGCTTTCGCCTGCAGCAAGCTCGCGTCTGGGCAAACTGTTCGGAGTGATCAGTACTGGAAGAAGCTCGATCGTTGCATTGCGTATCTCGTGGGGTTTCGCGATGTGGCTCTGGAGCTCGGCGGAGAAGCCACAAATCTGCGCCTCGTTGGTTTCGCAGATGCTGATGATGCTGACGACAGGCAGAGTCGCAGCTGCACAAGTGGCTACGTTTTCACCCTCGGCGGAGCTGCAATTTCGTGGGCGAGCAAGAGGATAAAATGTGTCACTCTTTCGTCTACGGAATCTGAGTACATCTCTGCCGTGGAGGCTGACAAAGAAGCACGCAAGTTGCGCTTTTTGCTGGCAAAGTATGGGCTCCTCGACGAGGATGAGCCCATGACACTCTACGTCGACAATCAATCTGCCATTTTTGTGTCAGAAGAGATGGGGCTCAAGGGGAGCCTTAAGAATATGGAGCGGCGGTACATGTGGCTGCAGCAGATGGTCGCGCGCCGCAAGATGAAGTTGCAGTACATCCCTACGAACGAGCAGCTGGCAGATTACTTGACCAAGGCCTTGCATTTTCTTGCGTTCGATTGATGCTTCGGCAGAGTGGGTCAGGTGCGATTGTCTACGAAGGGGAGCATACAAGAAGAAATCTCTTCTGGGGAAGAGTAGGCGCCATGACCTCTTTCATGGCTGGTGCGGTGATTCCAGCGTGCGAAGAAGTGCAGATTCTCGAAATCTCTTGTGTGTTCATTTTGTGTGTTCTTCCTTCCTTAGGATTTCCTCTAGATCGGTTCTCTGCTGGTTGGTGATTTCGCATGACCAGTGCAGGGGAGTGTTGAGAATAGCCCTGATCCTGCGAAGGTTGCAGAAGTCTGCGGAAGCGGCGTATCAACGAAGTCTGCGGACACGAGCCCTGCAGAAAGGCCCATCAATGAAGAGCAGATTTGTCGACAAGGCGACGCTCTGCGGGAAGTGGCAGAAGAGCAGTCTTTTCGTTGATGGCAGAAAAGCAGTTCTGTCGAAGTGGCAGAACAGGAGCGCTTTTCTTGCATATGGCTTCGACAGATTTCTGTGCGTTTGTAGAAGTGGTCTTGGAAGAAACGCGAGTGTAGAAGACCCTCCGCGGATTTGGCACCAGGGGCCATTCGCAGAAGGGATGTCCTCTGCAGAAGTTTCGCGCTGAAGACATTTCTGCGGGCGATCCTTTCGGCAGAAGCGACTCTGCAGAAATGCGTTCCAACAAGACTTCGGGCGAGTTGCGCAAGAACCTGTTCGCGCAGAATTGCGTTCTGCGGGAGTTCGGCAGAAATGCAATTCGGCTATCTCTTCTGTGGACGACCCCCTCGACAGAAACGAAACTCAGCAGAAGCGCGTCAGAGAGTCATCTCGGACTTCACTTCTGCGAGCGCCCCTTCGACAGAAAAGGCGAGGACTTCGTTTTTTCTGATGAAGGTACGTTCCGAAATCGCGAGAAATTCGCGATTTCGTAAGTTAACCTCAGAACCGATCTGGACAAAAACCGCAAAATCTACCTGCGACATTGAGAAATTGAACACGTGACGCACATTTCGAAACTGCGGAAATGTGAGTAACATCTGACAGTTTCATATCTGAAACTGTTAAAACAACTACTTCTAAGTGGGTCAAAATTACCAACTAAGCATGTGCTGTAATTTTCACCTGCCACTGCTGACTTGGCTAAGCGCAGCTTAAAGTAGTTATGTAAACGTTCTTGTGCGAACGTTCTCGCCGTGTTCAACGAGGTTCAATGGGGTAGTACTAGTGTGTACCATACTTTGTAATCTTGATTCTAGTGAATTTTTGTGCCTAAGCTTTCTAAAGCTACTCTGTGAAACACACAATTCTGGAGGCAACTTTCTCCTTGGAGAACCTCAGAGCTAGAGAGCTCTATCTGCGTCAGGCACTTCCGCAGAAGCTCCCGTTATAGCAGAAACCTCTGCAAGGCTTTCGTGACGCATGTGAAGCACCGGGCGGGGCCTCTTTTCCGGGGCGGAATTCGGTTACCCTGCAGTTTTCGCGTGTCAGTCTGTTATGTGCACGCTGCGCACCCGCTCATTTGTCGAGACACGAACGGGACACGTGTCAACACGTTTTGCGGTTGATAGTGTCGGTGTACCTCAACACATTTCCTCTTGGCGTTTTAATATTTCGGCGTGTTAAAAAAAAGTCAAAAATTCGTGTTGGGGCAAAATGAACGCGCTGGACACACCCTGAGCGTGAAACTTGTTTTCGCTGGAGGTTCGGTTTATGGTTCTAACTTAGGGACGGTTAGTTGCGAAGGTCAGATATAGAAAGTTTGCGCCCGATGTTCCGCGACCTTAAAGCCCGAGACTCAAGTTGCATGCCGTGCCTTGGTGTGGGAGCTAGGCTTGATACAAATCATACTCGAACAGAGTAAGCTCCACGTTTGTTGGAATTTGCTCTGTACAAATGGGGCTGTGCGACACAGGAAGAGTTGCACTAGGAGAGTTGTGGTGCTGTCTGTTGCGTACCGTACATGGTCAGTGCCCCTAGCGTATGCTGCGACGGGAAGTCCCAGGCATTTTAGCAGATGTTTGTGCGACGCTACACGAGTGGATTGCAAACAAGGCTCAAAATTGGTTTAGGGGCACCCTTAGTTATCAGTGTGCCTAGACAAATTATTCTGACTCTTAGGGTTATATTTTCGTCACCCTTTGAAAATCAGGGTAAAATTGTAAAAAAACAATGAGTACCCTGAATGTACAGGGTACTAAAATTATCACCCTGTCCACTGCACAGTAATTTCTTGTAATTTTCCAGCTTTCTTAGCTTGTGTGAGGGACATTATCGATCCTTCACTAAAATCATGCAGGAAGTCTGAGGCGAGCTGGAGCACATGTGAGGCCGTGGTACATGGGTTCTGTTTTGTGTCGAGACCGCAACCCGGGTTCAGCACTGGCGAAGTAACCCAACTAATTTCAGTCCAACCCATCTTTCACACGCCGTGCGAGGTTCAACACCCTCGGTAACCAGAGAGGATTGTGCAATCTCGATTAGGTGCGCAACCCATGTACCAAGTGTAACTGTCCCTTAACCAAAATGACGCACATTCTATAGTCCGAGGCGCGCTGGAGCAGATGTGAGAGGCGTGATTGGCCCTTAGTCAAAATCACGCATGCAGTCCGACCCGAGCTAGAGCAGGTGTGAGGGGATTGACTGGCCCTTCGACAAAATCAAGCATGCAGTCCGAAGCGAGCTAGAGCAGGTGTGAGGGGACTGACTGGCCCTTCGTCAAAATCAAAGATGCAGTGGAGCAGGTGTGAGGGGCCTGATTGGCCCTTCGCCAAAATCACACATGTAGTGCGACGCCAGCTGGACACAGAAACTTGTCGAATGTGCGGGTCGTTCTTTTGTTTCATTGTGATTTCTGTGATACCCTGTCTGGTCAGGGTAGAACTAGAAGTACTCTTACTACAGCAGGGTAAAACAATCTTACACTTTTTTTATTAAGGGTCACGAAAAAATGCCCTTACAAAATCATGGTGATCCTGAAAAAGCGGCCGCTGGCAAGGGCAATCAGGGTGAAACACCCTTCAAATTTGAGGCATGTGCAAATCCCATAACGGAAACCATTCCACAGATCAGAAACAAGAAACACTAGTTACTTGCGTACGTATATAAAGCTCTGATTGACGAATATCCAATCGCTAGAGTCGCAAAGCACATTGAAGTGTGAAATTCGTGCGGCGAATGCATAACATTAACTGAACCCGGGAAATATTTCTAGGATGAAGCCTCATAGGACCTCGCGTCAGAATCATGCAGTTATGCGCACTGCACAGAATTTCTGTCTGGATTCGATGCGGTGCGGTTAGGTTTGTCATGACTCTGACGCGAGCTGTGGAACAGGCTTTGCGTAACTTCGCACCTCTGAGCAATGCTTCGTCAAATTTCATGTTAGGGGGATGTGCAGATTTGCGTCTAGTTCCAACTTCGGTTCCTAGCCTGTCTGGTTTGGAAACAACAAATCGAACTAGCTGGCTTCCTTCGATTGGTTTCTGGGTAATGTCAGCGTCGATTGGGGATCATGTTATAACCACAATAGGCTTAAATGTGCCTATAATGAGAGATAGAGAGCACAGTCGGATTTCCGTCAGACGGCTTCAAATATTGATAACGATCTGGTCACTGAATCAAACGGTGATCTGTAAAGTGGATCTAGAGCACATTGCTGTCCTCTATCAGCAGCAAGTTGAATCATGAAATTCCATGAAGATTTGACGACGCTATGGCTGTTTGACTGGCAGAAGGTATAGCAGCCACTATAGTCTTAGGAGTACAAACTTAGCAAGAAGAGTTCGAGAGGGAGATGGTTCCCAGCCTCTACATACCCCAAGAGCCGAGGTCCAGGTTGGTGGTACACCACCACAGAGTCCCCAACCATGAAGAGTCTCGAAACCAACCCTCCAAGGGGCTACACCAAGTGAAATGTAACACTACACGAAGTATCGTTACTATTTTCACTATTTAATATTTATCCGCGTCCCTTGGGCTTGAAATCTTGAGCTCTTGTTCTTGGATCTGCAAGATAAATTCTTCTTGAGTTGATGGGGGCTTGCTGCACACACCTGCGACACGATGGACACTTCACACTCGACAAAATAGAAAAGACACATGCGACACACAAACGACGACTTGACATGCGAGTTGTAGAAACTCGCTAATGTCTTGACCGACACAAACCACATTGTGATACACCATTCAAACACACACACAAGCAATGGATAGCAATGTCATAGACTCACAATTCATTCCATGCCATGCATGCACACACACGAACAAGGACGACAAGCCGAGTGCAAGCCATAGGGTTGCACCAACAAACTCCCCCTCGGATTGTTGGCCTTAGAATCTGCTCCCCTTAGTTCAGAGCCATCCCAGCAAGCTTGCAACACTTCCAATGCTGCTGTTCAACCAGCCTCTTGGTCATCATATCAGCTGGCTGCGCCGTCGTCTTCACGTAGTGCAACTCCACTTCACCCGCGGTTACCATGCTCCTCACCCAATGCCACTTCACCTTCATGTGCTTGGTAAGGCCATGAAGAACGGGGTTCTTAGCCAATGCAATAGCACCCTGGCTATCACAGTAGAGGGGGGTAGGTCCTTGCTGCTCCTCCCCCAATTCAGCTAGCAAACGCCGCTGCCACACAACCTCTCTTATGGCACGGAAGAGTGCCATGTACTCGGACTCCACCGAGCTCAATGCTTGGTCCACTTGCTTCTTGCTCTCCCAAGCTGTTGGCCCTCCACCAACACAGCAGATGAAGCCTCCCACACTTGTCATGTCCTCTGGTTCTGATGCCCAAGATGCATCAGAGAAGGCGGTGAGAAAGAGCCTTCCGGGTTCGACTCCATCCGCACCCTTTTGACGCCTTTGTGCCGCCGCGGAGTATTGCAGTCCAACAGCTGCTGTTTGGCCAAGGTACTTGGCCACTCTCTCTCCAGCTGCTACCTGCTCTTCATTAGGGCATTGGACAACCCTAGCCAGCTGCCCGGTAGCAAAGGCTGCATCCGGCCTTGTGTGAACGGCCGCATACATGAGGCTGCCCACCAAGGAGTGAAAACGGCGCCTCTCCTCTTCACCAACAGTTTCCTCCGCTGGTCCTTTCACACACTTGAACCCTGAGGGAAGAGGAGTAGCCACATGACCTTCAATCTTCCCAAAGTTTGCAGCCAAGGCCTCCAAGTACTTCTTTTGATGCACTCGCATCCACCGCTTCTCCACATCTCGCTCAATGTGAAGCCCAAGGTAGTAGTTGACGTCACCAAGGGTCTTGCACTTGAACTTGTCTTGAAGCTTCAGCATCACCTCCTTCACAAGGTCAGAGGAGGGTGAGAATATGAGGATGTCATCCACATAAACCACCATGAAGCTCCTCTGCTCCCCCTCGCCAAGCATGAACAAGGATTGATCGGCCGTTGAGGGAGTGAAGCCGATCGCCTCCAAGACTTCCCGCAGCTTGATGTACCATTGCCTAGGGGCTTGCTTGAGGCCATAGAGTGCTTTCTTCAGCTTCCACACTCTGCCACTCCCATCATTGTACCCCTCTGGCTGCTCCATGTAGGTCTCTTCCTCCAAAACGCCATTGAGGAAGGCCGTTACTATATCCATTTGCTTCACCACCCATCCTTTGATGGCCGCCGCGGCGAAGAGGGTTCGAAGGGTTGTACCGTTCACCACAGGGGCATACACTTCATTGTAGTCCTTCTTCTCTTGCTGCTGATACCCCTTGGCTACAAGTCTGCTCTTGTAGCGCTCAATGTTGCCGTCGGCGTCGGTCTTGCGCTTGAAGAGTCACTTGGAAGAAATCGCCTTACGCCCCGGAGGTAGGTTCACCAAGTCAAACGTGTTGTTCTCGATGATGCTCCCCATTTCTTCATCTGAGGCCTTCTTCCACTCCTTCCCATTGGGGCCCTCCCAAGCCTCCTTGGGATTTGTAGGCTCCCCCGGCATCTCCACCGGAGAGAAGAAGGCAAAGGCGCACTCCTCGCTTTCATCTTCCGCATCATCGCCTAGCATGAGAGCCGAACCGGTCAAGGTTGAGTTGGCTGGTCCTCCAAGCCGGTCATAGCTCAACCTACTAGGGGGCTGAGTCCTCCTTCTCCCCCTTCCTTCCTTCTCTGCTGCAGGGACTTGAATGCTCTCATGGCGTTGCGGTAAATCTGGTCGGTTCCCACGAGCACTTGTAGCACGAGGCAGAAGTGACGGTGCACGCTCATCATCTTGCTGCACCTCCTCCTCCTCCTCATCCCGTCATTTGAGGAGATTGCCTTGTGATTGTACTGCTGCTACTCAACTCCAAGGGCAGCTCCACATGCTCCAAGCCGGTACTCTTCACCTCTCCAAGCCGCACACCAATCTTCGCTTGATTCTCCGCCTTCCATTCCTTGTACGGTAAGTTCTCCATGAACTTGCAATCTCTGCTCACCAAGAACTTCTTGGTAAATGGGTCCCAAAGAAGCCATCCCTTGCTGTTTTGAGCCATGCCCAGGTGCACGGCCCATGTTGCCTTGGCATCAAGCTTGTTGTGCCGAAGTTTCTTAGGCACAAGTGCCATGCACATGCACCCGAACACCCGAAGCATATCCACCTTTGGCTTCCTTCCAATCCACTCCACATAGGGCACCCATTTGTCTTCTCCCACATGAGTCAAGGCTCTGTTCTTGGCCACACAAGCATGTCGCACGGCATCCGGCCAAAAGTAATTGGGAAGACCGGCTTCAATGAGAAGTCCCCGAGCCGTCTCCGTGAGTGTCCGATTCGCATGCTCGGCGATGCCGTTCATTGCAGGAGAGTAGGGCATGGTAAGAGAGTGCCTTATGCCCTGCTTCTTCAGCCAAGTTGAGAAATCCTTGCTCAGGAACTCTCCCCCACGGTCAGTGCGAATCGCCTTCACAAGTCGGTCTTGTTGCCGCTCCACCATCGGCAACCAATCGGTCTTCACCGTTTCAGCTACGTCACTCTTCTTCGGCAGCACATACACCCAAGTCATGCGAGTGTAGACGTCCACAATGGTGAGGAATTACTCAGCTCCAGCAGCTCCAAGCTTCAAGGGGCCCACCACATCCATCACCACCTCATCAAGTGGTGCCTTCGCCGTTGTCTCGGAGCTATGGAACGGGTAGCGGGTGAACTTGGCTTGCATGCATGTTGGACAGCCAAGCACCTCATTGGGCTCCCCCTTGACACGTATCCCACTGACCATCTCTTGCTTAACTATCTGCTGCAAAATGGGCAATGCCACATGCCCCATTCGCCAATGCAAGGTCAGCCAATCACACTCTCCCGTAGCGGAAGTCGGGTTGGAGAAATCGTTCCCCACAAGCTCTCTCCTTTCTCCTTTGCCGCTGCTGCTTTGCTGATCTTAGGCTTCTCCTCCTCATTTTCACCACATTTGGCTGCTGCACCATTCTCCTTGGATTCACACACCTTGCTGGTCTCTCCAAGGCTGCACTCCTTCGAGTCACTCTTGGTGTCACTTTGTTTTCCGTGATCACCGCCACCAACCGCTTCACTCTTGGTGCTGACGCTTGCTGCCACTTGCCTCCCCTTAGGCATGGGGACCACTGGGATTTGCCACATCTCATTGTAGATGTCCCTGTCCTCATGAAGGTCCCAAAGCTTCCGCTCACCAAGCCTCGCGGTATAGGATTTGGAACCCTTGGAAGATGTGTCCATGCCGGCCTTTTGCAAACGCCGAACAGAGATCAGGTTGGCTGCTAGGTTGGGCACCCAAAGCACGTTCTTGAGGCCCACCATCTTCCCATCAGCACCCTTGAACATGGCCTTGCCCATGCCTTTCACCTCTGCTCGCTGCCCCAAAGCCGATGTAACATGCTTGACCGGCGACGGTTCGAGTTCGGTGAGCAAGTCCGCACGAGGTGTCATGCTATAGGTGGCGCCGCTATCGATCACCCAAAAGTCCAGAGAGTGAAGGGTGACCTTTCCCACAGTTGCTGGCTCCTCAAAGCCATCCACACCTCCTGCTGCAGCTGCCGCTTGTGTGGAGACAAAGAAGAATTGGCCCGGGTATCGATCTTCACTCGAGTCCTTGTCGTAGTCTCCACCTTTCATGCTTGCCGCTTCGCCTCCACGGCCACCACGGCCTCCACGACCTCTGCCTCTTCCTCCCCTTGCTCCTCTGCCCTCTTGGCCCTGAGAAGGGGTCCATCCATCAGGCAATCTGAAGCAATCTCTCCACATGTGGCCGGTCTTGTGACAAAAGTGGCATTCGCCATCAAATCGACCGCGCCCACGCCCGTAGCCATTGTTGTTGTTGTTGCTGCCATATCCTCCATTACCACGGCCTCCACTGAAGTTACTGCTGCCAAATCTTCCTCCTCGCCCTCTGCCCCTTCCACGGCCGTGCCCACGGCCCATGCTTGCAACTCCGGCACCATCGGGACCCGCCAATTCGCGACGACGGAAATCTTCTTGTAAGATTTCCCGCTTCACATCTTCGAGTGAGAGACGGGGCAGATCTCGATTAAGGTTGATGATGAGCGAGGACCATGAGTCCGGAAATAAGGCTAGCAGCTTGGTATTCTTTTGAAGGTCACTGTAGTTCACATCAGCTCCTTCGAGCCGTGTCAATAAGTCGAAGAATTTCTGCACTCCTTCCTCCACGGGTTCGCCTTCGTCAATTCGAAGTGCCGCCATTTGCCGCTCCAAAACCACAGCCACCGCCGCTGTTGCAGGAGCGTGTACACCCTTGAGAGCAGCCCATGCCTTTGGTCCCTTTGCTGGTTCACGCTGAAAAGGCTTGATGTGACGGATTTGGCTGCTCCCCAACGCTTGCCCAAGTAGAAGGTAGCCTTGTGCGCTCTTCTGCACCCACGGGCTCTTCTCCGGGTCGTTCTCGGGGCGCTTCTCCGTTCCTTCCATCACTTCCAGCAGATCATAATGGTCAAAGATGTTCTCCATCTTGAAGGACCACTCAACAAAGTTGTCACCGTTGAACTTGTCAAGGCCAAACACTCTAGGCTCATGCCTAGAGGGTCCAAGGCTAGGTTGCACCGGAGCAACGGGTGGATCTTGGTGTTGACCTTGTGCTTGGGCGTCTTCTCTGCCTCCAACACCTCTGCCACCCCCTTCCTCAGGTCTAGGCATTGTTGAGACGGCTCCAAGGGGCTCTGATACCACTTGTTATAACCACAATAGGCTTAAATGTGCCTATAATGAGAGATAGAGAGCACAGTCGGATTTCCGTCAGACGGTTTCAAATATTAATAACGATCTGGTCACTGAATCAAACGATAATCTGTAAGTTGGATCTGGAGCGCGTTGCTTTCCTCTATCAGCAGCAAATTGAATCATGAAATTCCATGAAGAATTGACGACGCTATGGCTGTTTGACTGGCAGAAGGTATAGCAGCCACTATAGTCTTAGGAGTACAAACTTAGCAAGAAGAGTTCGAGAGGGAGATGGTTCCCAGCCTCTACATACCCCAAGAGCCGAGGTCCAGGTTGGTGGTACATCACCACAGAGTCCCCAACCATGAAGAGTCTCGAAACCAACCCTCCAAGGGGCTACACCAAGTGAAATGTAACACTACACGAAGTATCGTTACTAATTTCACTATTTAATATTTATCCGCGTCCCTTGGGCTTGAAATCTTGAGCTCTTGTTCTTGGATCTGCAAGATAAATTCTTCTTGAGTTGATGGGGGCTTGCTGCACACACCTGCGACACGATGGACACTTCACACTCGACAAAATAGAAAAAACACATGCGACACACAAACGACGACTTGACATGCGAGTTGTAGAAACTCGCTAATGTCTTGACCGACAC